GAGTTTCTCTTGGTACTTAAACAATGGAAAGCCTCGAACAGGAGGGCCAAGACCAACGTCAGGACTTGGCATCACCTGCACAAATGGTGCAACAAAGAAACCCCAACGTGCTACTGTGTCAAAGCGCCAAATTGTTGACCACATCGTCAACCAATGCGAATCAAGGAAATTCGAGAAAGGAATCACTGCATTACATGAACTGGAAAAAGATTCCATCGCCAAATTAGATCTCTACTTATAGCCACTGTTGCCATAAGCAAGAAGAGGAAGACGGCAATGGATAAAATAGGCGTGGACCGAACGAGAGTCAGCACATCTGACGCTTAAGGGCCATTAAAGCAGCGGTGTGGACCGAAACCTTGCCTTAATGACTAAAATCATCCAGCGACCGCCAGCAAGCGTCGAACGTCAGGCCACTGCGGTGAAGAAAGTTTGTGAGGTGGAAAGAAACGTCGGTAGCAGTTCACTATTCGATGAATAAAGAAGTTACATTGTATATGCGCGCATAATAAAGCCGTATTATATGCTGTCTATATTATTACCGTAAGGGCAAACCATTCACGGTAATAATACAAGCAGCATATAATACGGCTTTATTACACGCGCATACACAAGATATATTCGTGTCATCCATTCAATCAAACAGTGTTAGAATAGATACGCATCTCAGTGAATGGCTCAGTGCTCAATATCATGATGTAAGAAGTCGTTAAGTCATCATCACTGGTTGGAGTAAGTTGAGGCGCTGGTGTTGAGGACACCCGCCAATGATGTCTTTTGATAACCAATACCTCAGTGTTTCACTACACTGAATTAGCATAGCTGCATCAGGATTGAGGAGACGTTGGTAACAGTTCAATGTTGGTGCCCAGAATGAACTGCCGAACGAATACTGCCAAAAAAACGCCGCAGGAAAGAGTGAAACCGAAAAATAGGTGCAGGATGTCATGCCGGACTGAACAACACCTACAACGCGACAAAGCATAGGACACGATTGGTATACGGACCCGAAACGTCATCAAGATCTTTTTGGCAAGCCATATTGAGAAAATGCTGTCGACAACCACATTTACCGACGTCTACACCACGGAAACGTAGTTTTCAACTACTCCTCCGCCCCAGATCAAGGGCGACGTATCTAAAATGGGAGATCCAATGTTCAATGTAAAAACGGAGACCAAAGCTTTCGAGAACAATGACCGGACCGGCAGCGTTCGGTTCATAACAGTGTACTATTTATGAAGACAGTACCACTTGTGGCGAACTGGACATTATGTCAAAATGTCATTATGTTCGAAATCGTTATCGTATTTGAGAACCAGGAAACTCTTACTTTGCCTTTGAGAGCGAGGCCAGACAACCGCCGCATAACAAGCTGTTAGTAGCTTCGTCGTGGTCATCGAAGAACTGCGACTGTCCGGGGTAATGGAGACAGTTTGTACAAAATATAAAGCCGCATCTATGACAGTATTTCTCTTTGTTGAGGACGCCGAATTTCTTGGCACAAGCTGTACATCGCATCTACAAAACAGTCGCGAAGCACGGTTACCGTTCAGAAGTGAACAAAAATAACATATGTATGCAAGATAAGCATGAACAAAAATGTAACGCTGAACGATTATTGTTGGTTTAATGTCTTTAATTATTTTAGAGAAAGCTTCAAAATCCACTGGCAATCAAAAACTGCTCAACTAATGACCGATCAGCTCCTTTGACTCGTATTTTTCCTTGAGCTTCGTTCACATGGGTACCAACCGGATGTCCTAGCTTTGCTTGAAGGAAGGTCGCAAGATCCTTTTCACAAGCCTAAATATCTACATATAATGAATTTAAACCATCGCCAAGCTTTAGGTTATACGAAAACGTCGCCTTCAATGCGTTTTAGAATGACCAATTCCACGTAGTTGAATTCCATAGTTTCGAAGTCCAACATGTCCCTTCGGGTTTCCAAATATACCGGGAACGTGTGAAAACGGGTGCGACGGACGAGATACGGCAAATCAGGGGGAGGGTCTTCAAAAAATGAATTCAGCAACATAAAATACTAACCTATTTACATCATCTTTCTGCTTTTCCTTATGAAACTATACGCGATCACATTACATTAGCTACAGGTAGAAAATGTCACTTTCCGGCAATTCCCACTAGATGCAAGGTGTAATGGTGGAAAGAGTTGGCTGGCTTCGCATATAAGCTGTCACAGCTACTCCTCCCCTTCCCCCAATCCACACATACGCACACTGTAAACTTTCTCTTATTAGCTGTTATTTTTCTTGAGCAAAAAATGCATCCCACAGTGCTTCGGAGAAGATACCCGAGAAACGGTTAGCGCGTCGCTGACCAGTGATTAACAGGGCCAGTATGGAGTCTTATTGCGGTCATAATAGAGCACAGTCATTCTACCTGATACGCGAACCTTACGGCTATTCACCTGATCTCTGACTAAACTTTGGCATGTGTAAACCCGCAAATTTAAGAAACTCATTAAATTTAAATTACCTTTTGGCGGAACCCAGCCCGATGGGGTAGGATAAACTTTGTGTTGAGGAACTGGAGGAATAACACTAATCGGATACAGCCGTTCCACCCATCGAAACTCTTCCTTCGACTCGACAACTTCTGTATACTTTGGTGGGGGCTTCGGTGGCCCAAGCGCATACAGCCAAGGATTTTCCCAGGGCGGAGGGTAAGAGGTGTTTTCAGCAGCGCCAATCTTTTCAGGCAACGAAGAAACATTGCGGGATGCAGTCGCTTCCGTTCCAGGGGCAGCAGCATCCGAACCGGTGGTGCACAAACGAGTCAGCTCAGACATAGTCTAAAGGTGTAAACGTAGTTAAAATTTACATACATTCAATAGTTTCATTACGACCGCATGCGGCAACCGCAAGATCAGTTGATGTAGCCGATACGCCATTTTCTACTGCAGATTTGCCGTGAAGCGATGTCCTCGACAGGTTATTTTCTAAAAGTTTATGTGAATAAAGGGCACATTAAAGAAGGACTGAAAGTTCTAAGAAAATGGGAAATTTTTAAATCTGTTTTCGATTCAGTAGTTTTCGGGACAAAACAAAGGCAGATTTTACGAAACCGTTATCACGCGGTTGTCAGAATTCGGATACACAACAGCGGATTTCTTTGGGGCAAAAAACCAGCAACAAGTTTTTTTGTTTTTTGTCAGGAAAAATAAAGCTGCTATTGCATGGTCGAAAATTGACAACTGTGGAACAGAGGTTTCGCAACATCTATCGTTGTTTTGTATCCAAAATTTAAGTGAACGTTCGAAATTACAAGAAATGCTTAAATTCAAGATATGCCAATAAGCTCAAAGAAGAAAGCAAGTAACAAACTCGCCGAATGCTAGAAGATTCTTCCAATAATCACATGAGTTAATACAGAAAACTGAGTTCTCAGGTTATATCCCACGAAATCCGTTCTTGACGAATATCTATGCTTACGGAAGTATACCTAAGTCTCTTTAATGCCATTTTCTCTACTTTGACATTCACATTAAAGGCAGGTTGTTTATTCGCAACTGAAAATATGTTCAACAGAATACCTGAGCAGCACTAATGTTTTTACTTTCGTCTTTTGAGCATTTTGCAATGCAAACTTGTGGGTGCACTTCGGAAGTCATATTTGTTATCAGCAGCAGTTCGTACAGTTAAAGACATAACACTTTTGAAAACGTTGTTTGGCCTTTCATAACTCACAAATAATGGAAAAGATAACAACTTACAAAAACTTAATCGATAAAGCCTGTGCATGACATTTCTTTGTTACGGTCTTTGTGTTGTTTAGCAGATTTTATTTGGCGGATTACGATGCTTCGAGCAATACTAATACGAAAGTCGCATAGACAAACGGTAATTACATTTATCATGTCTGTTTTTAGCAATATTGCAACAGTCAGCAACAATCGGCTGTAACGATGCGGGAGCTGTCGGAAGCGGTCGGCGCCCCTTTGGAACTACACCTTAGACTTGAACAAATGTGCAAGTTCTCATTTCTCACTCCCCCCCCCCGAACCAGAAATGTGGGCCAAAAAAAGATGGAGCGCTCGCCACTCTCACACCTTGCACCAGAATTACGGTCAGCTAAAGTACCAGTGTGTACTGGAACGGAAGAAATTATTGTTCATATATGGAACATTATGATATCTCTTGTGTCAGTTGTCTTCTGTATATGCGCTGTTGTTGCAAGAAAGCCTTGCAGCATGGTTTAAAGCCCTGTTTGCAAAGAAAACTGAGTACGTTGCAATACAGATTGAAATCGAGCGAATATGATTCTAAAAGTGGGCAATTTCGGTAAAGAAATTTGTGCATAGCAATCCCCTAAGAAATATGAAAACAGCTGAATTAATTCCCGATATAAAACGGCAGCGCTCAATTTTCAACTTGATTTCTTACAAAATAATACGGGCACTTTCGAATGTCGATCATCAATAGGTGAATCAGCGTTCCTTTTCTTACGTATCGTGAATGATTTAACTGAGTCTTCAATTGTAGATATTGTAACGCTGATATGCATCGATGCGACGTGGACGTAAATAGGAGGATTACTTTAGCAGCGGCCGTTTTTCGAGGTCTAGACAAAACGAAGTGTCATCAGAGAATCCAGTAGGCGGTGAAAATGAAGATTCTCATATAGTCTGTCTTAATGTCTGACTTGGAAACGGGAACCCTGCTGAAAACGCAAAATTGTTGTTCAAACTGATGCAAGCAGCATTGTCTACGACGCATGCTCAAAGATCTTTCATCCCAGAAAACAGCAAACCGAGAAACGTCATTAACATTAGTACTGCGGGAACTGTCCATTATTGTTCCAGGAACGACAAATTTAATAGTTCGTATATTTCAGGTGAAAGCGCAAAACATAACGATTACAGGAGTTTCAAAATGAATCGAAATCAGCACAAAGTCGGCCAACTTCGATTTGTGTGAACAGGGCAATCATTAAACTAAATTCAATTCAGTGAAACAACACAAAAGATTGATGAGCAATATATCCGTGCTTTGTCAAACTGTTGTTATCACCGCTAGTTGTTCGCGTAATGCATAACTCACGCTAGACCGTATACAGTTCTTTTATGCGCTCAACTGCCTAAGGACCCTCTTTAATTCGATAACAAATACACTTTGAGCATTTGCGTTGAGAGAAACTATATTGTTTAAAGTGATCTCACAAACATTACAAACGGAGTATCAGTAGTACTTGCCACTGGATGATGCACTTTCTCATGCAGGAATGTGTTAATATCACAAAACTCCGTCAAAATTAAATTTAACCACGTAGTACTGCTTAAAAGTGAGTATATCGGATCAGTTGACAGTATAATTTTCAGTACGTTAACAATCAACTTCCTTTCGTGTAGCTAACGTATTCGCTTTTAAACTGCTTACGAACAGAAAATTCGTTGGAAGACATCAAGTAAAATAACCTCAATGATTTTGCATTCAAAAATAGGAGCTTGCGATACCGCTGTTACATAAACGACATTAAAAATGATGATATGGATTGAAACGGCGAAAATGTACAATGGATAGAAGCAAAATGCAATTAATAGATACCAACATTACTGCAGTATTGAAGCGCCTCCATGCTTCTAGCCTTGCCTAAAGAGAACATTTAAGGCTAACGTGTTGTTAACAGTACCTGGCATGTTTGGATTTCAAAATGTCCTTTTCAATCCAATTAATAGACGTTATCATGCATCTTATGCACTGTAGGCGCTTAAATACCTACAAACCTTGACCCGCTCAAATTGCCTCCTAGTCGCAAAAAGTAAAGGGGCGGTGCAATGCTGCGGTGAAACTTCCATTAATCTTATACTGTTGCAATATGGGCATAAAGTAAAAAATTTATTTTTTTTACATTGCACATTTTCGCCCCTTCAATCCGGTATCACCAGTGTTAATGTCTCTGGTAGGTATATTAAAATAGTTCAGTTTGAAATTAACGATCTTCGTATAATTGTTGTGTACTAATTTTACGCATTTTTGCACGTAAACTAAATTAAAAAGGTGAAATAAATCAGGTACGAGAACTGAAGACTACGATTTCTCAGTAATGATCCTATATGCGATAAGCATCTTTAAAAATGTACAGTATATAGTTGATGCGTAAGGACATCTTCTTCTGTATAGGTTTATCTTTCTTATGACAAAATGCAATGGGTGTAAGTGCTTCGCAGGCCGGTGCCTTGTCCTCTGCGAAACAGAGTTTCGGTCACTTGGTCTGTCTGCGTTGTACTTATGCTCATGCATTCAGTTTAGGCGTTTTTAAAGACTTATAAATTTCCTCTTTAGGTTTCGCTCAGTTTCAGTTCAAGATAAATGACTATGAATTGTTTTCCTTAGTAAAAAGTTTTAGTTTTACGGTTAAGTTATTTCGATGATTTTCTGCCAACTGTTAGTGGATTAATTCTAGTTACGCTATGTCCGACGCCTATATCGGCTAGCATAATAAAGTCAGAACACCAGGATTCTGTGTATATATTCTTCGCTGGTGAAGGTGACAGATTTCTGACAGAGAAGAAGGTTATTAATTTATTGAGTATATTTGTAGGTATGGTGGATCATTCGCTTCCTCGTATGTCTTAATCATCGTTTTTGACATTATGTGGTTCTAGGTAGAATGTAATAATGCAGTGTTGGAATTTCCAGCTATTGATGAGGTGATTTAAATGTTGCGTATTTGATTCTGTAGGCATCTGGTAGGAGCGGATTGGACATAATGTGCTCACAAGTTTTGACTTTATGCCCATTATATTCCCAGCTGTCGCTAGATAGGGAAATCACTTTTACATCGGGATTGCTTTTTGTTGTCTTCATGGCCATTACTAGTTGTCATTTGGTGCTTGCCAATTCGACTTGCAACCGGCGGAAAGAATCGCTTTAGCTAGACGCAGTTTTGTTACTTTAGTTTTTAAGTATGTTTGTCCTTATCCGCGTAACTGCAGGCATCTTTCATTTATTTTCACAATGAAATTAATTGAATTTATGTAAATCTAGATAGCATTATTATAGAAGTTATCGAGTTATGTAAACGTCATATTTTCAGGTCAGTGAGTATAATCAGTCCAATTATTTGAACAATAGTTTAGCATCCTCATCTTTCATGCCTGCTTCTACTTTCGAGTCGCCGAGTCAGACGCCTAAGACAGAGTTTCCAATGTTCGCAATAATTTTCCAGAGTCTGAGGTTAGGCAGAAGACAAGTGGAGTCTAGAACAGATTTTGTCCATATATTTGCACGAGGCTAATCTTCGCCGTCCCCTGGTCCTTCTGCCAGTTAGTTTAACAACAAAGAGTTGTTTGACCTCCCAGTATAGAGGCATTCGCAACACATGTCAAAACTGTCGCAGCTGCGACTTCTCAATCTGGAGAAGCAGAGGGTAGCGGCTCGTCTAAGAAAGCCCACTTCAGCTGCTTCTACCCAGGTTCGAAATTTTTCAGTAATCATCCATAACCCATGATCGTAGGTAAGCTTGGAGATAAGGATCGACTTGGACTCCAAGAGCTTACCTTTCGCAGTGAAAATGGATGGTGCTAGTTCTGGCAAAACGCCACTGATTGCTCCAATTCGCCAGTCGATCTTTTCCTCTAATTTTCATTTACTACGAAATGCAGTTCCGAGGTACTTGAACTTATCTACTACCTATCCGTTAATCTGAAGAGAGCAATGGGCTGGAGAACGAGAAAGCACTAGGCTTTTCGTTTTAAAAGTGATCACGCGCATGCCATTCACGTGGCACTCCGCTACGAACCTTTCTAGGGAGAACTGAAGATCAGTTTCAGAAGTTGCCCATAGAACA